CTAATTACTTAAGGAATGTGACAGAGATGACATAAAGCAGAGAAATTAGTTAATCCAAAAGCCACAGCTTCTGTAATATTAGAAGAAAAATGGCAGGATCTAAAAACAAGACTAAGGTTATCCTGAGTGCACAGTCACAAAATTTCCTTTAGGTATTTTAATGTTAACATTTCCACAAAAAATCCACCAAAATGGGAAAATTAACTACTTTACAAATGGAAAAAAGTATAATAATCAAGACCCTAAGAGTTCGGCTGAACCTAAGATGTTGCAAAAGAAAGCTTGATAGGCAATTTAACTGATAAGGATAATTTTCCTATAATTCAATTGTCAATATACTTTCTCTTATTTAAGGATTTGCCCAATGTCCTGCATGGATTGTAAAATTAGATCTGCATTTGTAAAATTAGGGGACAAAAAACACATTCATGGGACACCTGAATGGCTCAATTGGTCAAGTGTCTGACTCTTGATTTCCGTTCAGGTCATCATCTCAGGGTTCATGGGATTAAGCCCCATGTCAAACTCTGCTCTGACATGAAGGAGCCTGCTTTGGGATTCTCTCTCTTCTTCTCTGCCCCTCCCCTACTTACGCGTGCTCTCTCACCCTCTCTCAAAATAAATAAACTTAAAAATATATATCTATATATTTTATATATCCCATATATATTATACATATCCCATATATATATATATTATATATCCCATATATATGTTATATATATCCCATTATATATATGTCATATATATATTATATATATCCCATATATATATATTATATATCCCATATATGTTATATATATCCCATTATATATATATGTCATATTATAAGACAATAAACATTTATTCTAAGATAATAAAAGATTTGTAAAATGTTATTTCAGAAAAAAAAGTGTCATTTCAGAGTCAACTGGCTTATAGAGACAAAAAAAAAAAACACAAAAAAAACCCACCTAATTTGAGTTACTCTGATCCCTGATCTAATACTATTATTCTTCCAGAAGCCTTCATGTATTTGCAAGTTAAAAATTAAAATTATATACACACACCCAAGACTTACTTATGCATATGGTTGCCACCACTGGTGAGCATAAATTCCCATAACAAAGGTAAAGCCAAAGGATTTGAGTTTACACTCAATAGCTGTGTGAATATCTATTATCCAATATACTCTGCAGAATTTCAGTTGAGAACTATAGTTTAGCCACTTCCCTCCAGGTAAGTTACAGAGATCAAATTTCTTACATCTGTGATGCTCACCACTTGCAGTTACTGCCGATTAATAGCCTGAGATTAATTGTTGGACGTGCTGCATAATAGCTGTAGTAGAAAACATTTTAAACACAGACCCACAATGATGCATTTAACAGCTGTGTTGGTCTAACAGTTCAGATTTTCACTGTATTTTGCCATATGGTAACAAGGATCATTTTTCACTTAAAAATATTACCAAAAATTGATGCCCTACAGTAATATTACCATTCTAATTTTTAAACCGCACATTCACAGCCATGTTTGTTAGCCTCCCATTACTGTATTCTCTATGTGCCTTAAGTTTGGTTAAAACACTTAATAACATAATTTTTTTTTATTTTAAGTTAATGCCAACCAGATCAAATGTAAATATTATAATAGGAAACCTATGGAAAATGACCTGGCAATGAACAGGCAGAATGTAAAATCTGGTTATATAAAGCCATAGGAGCCGTGAAGACTGGGACTTATTTCTGTGCACTAGATTTGGGGATTTTCCCATATTCAAAACCAACTGATTACTACCTTCCTATCTCACCTTTTTTTCCTGTAACTCATTATTGATGTAGAATTACTCCTAAAGACAAAAAGTTGGCTGCCAATTTTGATTTTAACCTAACTGCTATAATAATCTATTACCATGATTTTATGAAGGGGGGAGGGGGACACGTAGAAATGTTCACATATATAACAGGAAGCTAAATAAAAATCTCACCTTTTTTAATGCCAGAACATGAGACCCATCCACATCAGGAAAGGCACACTGTTCCACCAATGTGTTAGAACAATAAACAGAAAGAGTCCTTTAGTTTTTAGGTCAATTTATCACGTTTATAACCTCACTAAATTCCTTTGGCAGAACTTAAAAAGAGTAGTAGTGACCAAAATGACACATTGCGCTGCGTTCATTACAATTGCCTGTGATTTTCTCCTGTGTTTTGAAAATAAAGGGGCAGGTTGGCATAGACAGTGCAATCCTCAAAATAAAACATTTCAACCAGAAGTGAACACTGCTGATTTTTACCACTACAGGTGATAACTGCACTTTTAGAAAAAAGACAATTCTACATTTCATGATCCTAGCTTTAAAAAATCCATTCCTAAAGCAATCACAACATGCCAATATAAAAAACACAAAGTTCAAAACTTCTACCAAGATGTACTTTTGTTTCCCTTTTCCTCAAGCCTGTGTCTCCTCAAGTTAAAACATTCAGATAAGATTTAAGCAACGATAAGATTTCGGCTGATGAGTTACACTAGCTACTCTGGTCCAGTAAGAAGAATTCGCCTTTCCGCCTACTGTGACTCTATAGAGCTTTGTTCCATTTATGGTAGAACTGGAGTACTGTACATATTCCTTCCATAAAAAACTTTCACGTTTCCATATGTTTAATTAACAAAATGTTTTTAGTAGCCAGTAGCTCACATTCTCCAAACGTCTCAAGTTGTCATTTTGAAATCCATTTACTTTTAACAAGGATTTAAGGTCTCGGAACAGTAACTTTGGCTTTGTCATTCATTGAAGAATCATGACCACTTCATTTGTCTGTATTTCGTGTTTACCAATTTTGTGATCATCATTCCCACTGAAGGACATGCACAATTAACGATCATAAGGCATTACAAGCCATCAATGAATATTTAACTTGGATAGTCAAAGTTGCTTACTCTTGGTTGAACTAATAGTCCCTGTCTGTAGCACATTCTTTCTTCATTGGAGCAAAATCATAAAAACCATGAAGCTTATTGTTTGTAAAACTGATATCAAATGTTACGGGTAGAGAAATTCCTTTTAAAAAAATTAAAAGTTCATTGGTGACAAAGGCGGGAATACAAATTGGGGTTTAGTATGTTAATTACACTAAGATGGGTTATCAGATTCTTTTTAGATCATGTCTCAATTTACATTTCCAGCTTGGTTGTCCCCTATTCCTACATAAACTATTATTATAATATGAATAATAACAGATACTCCCAAAATATTAGGTATTACAGACACTGTTCTAAGTGCTTTACATGTACTTACTCATTTAGTAACCAAATCAACCCTATGGTAAGTATTACTCTTATCCCCATTTTACAGTTGAGAAAACTGAGGTACTAATAAGATACCTCATTTGAGTGGCAGAGCTAAGATACAAACACAGACATTCTGGGTCCAGAGTTAATATTCTTAACCACTGTGCTGTAGAAGAAATCAGTAGAAGCACACACACACACACACACACACACACACACACACACACACACACACACACAAAAGAGCTGTGCATAGAGAATTTAAAAGACTCTGTTACCTAGAGGAAGGCAAGGAATGTCCCTGGGCTTCAATCTCCTCACAAGAAAAGTAAGACAGTTATACAGTATTATTTTAAGATGTATTCTAAGCCTAGTATTTATGATTCAAAAATTCACACTGTAGCATATGGCCTCTGCTTTTTATTGACATAAGCCAATAATACATTAAGGTATTCACATTTTTCAAGGAAAATGCAAAAAGATAGTGAAAAATTACCCCCAGGCAATCAAGAGATAGTAGTAGATTGAATAAAGGAATAAGAATTTCACCTCACAAGTATCATACCTTGAGCTTCCTGGAACATTCTTAAGAAACAGTGTTCCCTGGGGCTTTTCTATTCCTTTCTGGAAGGTGCCATATTATAACAATTTTCAGAAAATAAATTAACAAATCTGGCAAGTGAACTACCTACTGTTCCTTCACAGCAATACATAAAACTCCTTTGGATTACACTTATCCAGAAATTAAAAGCTTTTTTTCATAGAGCCGACACAGCATATAATATTTTCATAGTGCCATGGAATATTTGAGATCATGAAAACACCAGTCGTATAAACGCCAATCAAAAGCACATGCCAATTGATAATACATACTTCTCCAATAAATAGTATGGCCAAACTGGCTCCATAAAATGCATTCACAAGGACGTGAGGTTGAACTGTAAATGCATTTCCATCTCATACATATTCCCTTTGTCGCCTGGCTTCATATTCGATAGCCACTTTCTCCTCATTTCCCACCTCATGACTCCCTCATTGCAAATCACTATCACAGACAGTTGTTTCATTATGTTACCTTTCCTCTGTCTTGAAAACAGTTCATCTACTTTTATAACCATTCTTTTGTTTCAATTCTTTTAAGTAACGTTTAAAAATTGCCATCCTTTGGTCAACTTCATACAGGAATAATTCTGCACAAAATAATCACTGAGCAAGCCCCCGTTCTTCAATGTGGATAAACATCTGACATAGTCACAATTTATAACTATTGCTATTATAAACCCAGAGATTTACTCAATGCTTCTACATAAAAGTTGTAATGAACTTCAAAGTTAATTAGCTAAACCTATAAAAATCTAACAGCATCCAAATTAAAATGAACAAAACAAAGTTTACTGGAATCATTTTCCTAAATTCTTCACATATAAACTGCCTCAGTATGTTGACAATCAACTTCATATTCAAAGTTCCAAACTGGACTGGATTTCATTCTTAATTACTAGAGAAAACAGAAACTATGAATGCCTTTAAAAGCCTCCTAATACACTATCTAGAGAGCTTTTGCCCAGACAGAAAAAGTATTAAAATTACAGAGCAGTTGGAGGATGGGGACTGGGAATGTTTAGCCACTTCTGCCCTAAACTTTCCCTTCTGTGATAAAAGCCACAAAACCTGACATTAACGCAGCCCCCTGTCTGCACTGTACCGTGGGGCACTGATCTTCTTACCCCTCGTGTGCATAGACAGAAGAATGAGCAAGAAAATGTGAAGCTGCCAGTTTAGTTCTTCCAGCCAACCCACTGCAGCAGGAGAGCAGTAAATGTGACCCGCCTGTTTCAGCCTCCTGTTTCTTGCCTTCGCTCCTTTCACGGAGGCTTCTCTGCTGCCACTCTTGTCAGAGCTTCGGCAAGCCTGCCAGCAAGCCTGAGACAGGACCGTGAAAGACAAGCCTGTTACAAACTGGTTCTGTCACCACAGAGACTTCAACTGATCACCTCGTGGGGAGGACAACAAAGGGCGGTGAGGGACCCTGAGCTGGATTGTTTTCTTAAGAAAGGAGCCCCACCCGGCTGCCCGCACATGCGGGGGATCTGCTCTGCACTGGCCGAACCAGAGCCCCCCAGGTCTCGCAGGCAGTTAGGACGGGACTGCAAAGCAACACACATCTAGACTTTGCTGTCATGAAATAGCGTATTTCTTGTGTCAAGGCTGTTTGTCTTGCTTACAATGTTAACTGGGAATTGCAGAAACACGGGGGAAAAAATGTTTTCTTTGGTGAAATGATACAGATATTGCAACACACGTATGGCAGTTTGCTCACCTGGCTGTTTAAAGGATGAAGCAGATGGCTTTGAATCAAGGGCACAGGTATGAAAAAAGGGTCCCATGTGAAGAGTATCTTTAATGAATATTTCAAGTTAAAATACTTCAGTTAAGCTATTCATTAATCAGCTACTTTTAAATGACTATAGTTTGACGTTTCCTATGCAGGAAAAAAGTACTGTGAACCTAACCGATCTTATTAACGTGAGTTATTTAAGATTTTAACTATAATTGTGTCTCATCGTCAACTATGAACAGTTTGTAAAATTTCACCTTCGATGACACTTTGACCTTTTTAACACTAAAACTGTTTGAAAGGCCATTTTGTTTTCTCTGACTCTGGGAACTGTCAACACTGAAAGAACAGCAAGAAATACAAATAGAATGGACAGTATGTGCAGAAAATACAATGTCACCATAGATACAAACAGAAGTAGTTATTAAATCCCATTTATCCCATTACATGATAAAGAATTTATGATTATGAAAACAGACACATTTCTTTTTTTATTTTTTTAATGTTTACTTATTTTTGAGAGAAACAGAGACAGAGACAGAGACAAAGACAGAGTGTGAGCGGGGGAGGGGCAGAAAGAGAGAGGGAGACACAGAATCTGGAGCAGGCTCCAGGCTCTGAGCTGGCAGCACAGAGCCCGATGCAGGGCTTGAACTCACGAAGCATGAGATCATGACCCAACCTGAAGTCGGAAGCTTAACGGACTGAGCCACCCAGGCACCCCAACAGAGACATATTTCAATGCTTATATCTCAGATATCATCAGAATGTGTTTACTTGGTATTTTAAGAATTATTTTCTCAGAAAAAAATCTCTGCCATCTTCTCATTTTTAAGAGACACCCCAGCCCTCTACACACAGGAGCACCTCCCAGCACTAGCTTTCTAGGTGCCATTCAAATCTGTTCTCTAGTTCGGAAAACCAACAACTGCTCTTTTATGAATTTACAAATACTACTATCAATCCAACACCTTCAATGCACACTTTCGAGAAATAAAACATAACAGAAATATAGTACTTTTAACCATATATGTAACCTTGGGATATCCTAAATTTAAGAAACTACACATTCTGCATTTCACAGAAACCATGCAACTTACGTGCCAGGAAACTGTAAGTCGAGGGTAGTAGTCTTTCAGTATCATTTATCCACATCCCTTGGAGCGAAGAAGGGAGACTGAGGCATACTAAAATGAACAGGAGTGATCAGGAGCAGAGAGTAATATGTGGGAAAAGAAGACAAAAATCAAGCAACAGAATCTCTTGTTCAAACCTTTGCTATTCGGCTCAAAGCCACATCACGACATGGTTCCACCGCCAACTTGGAACCCAGCCTTGAGCTTTGGGAGGACGGGCGAATGGCTGAAATGTGGGACAGCTCCCACTGCCACTCCATTTCCCCAATATGAGCGGCCAAAAATGGTTCCAAGCCTAAAGAGAGAGCTCTCACCTTAGAATCCGAATTCAGTTCAAACAATTCATATCAGCGACCATTTCTTACTCTATGGTATGTGCTCGCTGAAATAAACGTACTCAGGAAGTTTACAATGCCACAAAAAAAAAGCAACCTATATAATAGAGAACGGTAAAAAAGGTAGCATATTTTAAGAAGAAGTGTCCTCAAATGGAATAAAGATGGAAAATCAGGGTAAGGCATGGATTAGACTGGGCCAAAAACTGAAGGGAGAGCTGGACGCTGAAATAAGAATTGAATTTATATAGCAACAGAGGAGACGGAAAGGAAGAAATTATATGAGCAAGGATTAGAGGTAGGATTAAATATTTCATTTGTGTAATAGCATGAGAAGAAAAACCCTACTGGCGCAGACAGTTCCTATTAGCAAATGGCTGGAGAGAAACCTAGACAGAGTGGAACCGGACTGTGCAGGACTCTGAACGTAGATTATGGAGTTTAGACTATATATTACATAAATAACTAAAGCCTTTTTGAACACTGATTGGCTTGATGAAGTAAAAAAAAAAAAAAAAAAAAAAAAAAAAAAAAAAAAAAAAAAGTGTAAAATTTCAGCCTATAGGATGAGTCTCCGAACCTGAATTTCCAACTTTGTGAGAAGTGAAAATGAGAAGTGTGAGGAGAGGTTTCTATTTAGTCAAACCTTGTGGAAATACAGATTTCTTCCTTCCATTGATAATATTAAGAAATTCAAAATGTATCCCTCTTAATTCCCTCCAGTTTGCCTTTATTGTTTAATATACGCTGGCTGCATGTTTTATAAAATGCATAATTAGGTTCCAGGCAACCCGGCTCAAAAGATCTAATGAAACTCTTATAACGTAGATCAGAAATCTGGTTTAGGGAAACCACCGAGACTTGCATATGACTTAACCCACTCACATACAGTATACACCCAAGGAGGTTTCAAAGAAAGCTCTCTGAGAGAATGCTAAAAGAAAGGTATCAATTTGAAGATCTATACCCGAGAGAAGACCAAGGAAAGAGAAAAGGAGGACTACCCACATGAGTACAATTTGCACTGCTGTCAACTGTAGAATTCTTTTGTTTAAGTTTATTTATTTATTTTTGAGAGAGTGAGTGAGCAGGGGAGAGGCAGAGAGAGAGGGAAAGAGAGAATCCCAAGCAGGCTGTGTACTACCAGCACAGAGCCCAACATGGGGCACAAACGTGAGATCGTGACCTGAGCTGAAATCGAGAGTTGGACGCTTAACTGAGCCACCCAGATGCCCCTCAACTGTACAATTCTTAAACAGACCCACCCATTCTAGATTCATGTGATGCAGACAGCCTAGTTGTGCAATCTGTATAACCGTGGCCAAATCATGCAAACTCTCTTCTACAGTTTGGTCATTACCTGACTTAAGACTGTTATATAAATTACACAAGTAAATGAATATTAGTTACTGAATACGGTGCCCAGAACATAAGAGGATATCAGAAAGTGGTCAATTTCCAAAAAACTCACTAATCACTCCCCTGCCTCCTGACCAAAAAAAAATCCCTGTTAACAACGTTATTTAATGTAACATTTTGCCAAACTGTTCTCATCATAAACACTGTGCTCCCTTAAAACAAAAATCCAAAATATGTCTTATGTTAAATCTGGTTTTAAAAATTCAAATTATATCTGCAAAGGCAAGTTTTTAGTCAATTTACTTTTACTTAATTCATTGAATATTCATATAATTGCAGCAGAGGTATATGAATTCATTTTAAATTTTGAGATTACTGTTCTAACAGTTTCAATTTGTGACTTATTTTTACATAGAAACTACCCAAACCTCCTGATTTTTATGTATATAAACAGTTTTGAACTGAATTTGGGGAATTGGATCTAGTAAATGGGATATAAGAACATTTCTTAAAAGACAGTACCTGCCTTCAGGACACAACTGACCCTGTAGGTTGAGGACAAACATACAATTAAATAATGACAATGCAGTGCAGTAACCGCCTGGGGAACTGCAGGAACACGGAAAGTACAGTGGACAAAGATGAATTCTGACCAGGGGTGGGGACTGAACTTGTGGGGGAGAGGCATTCGAACGAGGTCTTCCAAGAGAAGCAGGAATTCACTGAGTGAAGGGAGGGCAAAGGAATCCTAAGCAAAGAGAAAGGGCAGTACAGAGACTCACGAGTAAGAAAAAGAGCAGTGTTTGCAGAGAACGTGGGAACCTGGAAATGCCTGGAGAACAGAGACATTAGGATGGAAAAGTAGATGGCAGAGATGGGAAGGGCCTCATATCTCATACAGTGATTTCTGTCCTGTATACACGGGAAGCCATGCCTTCATTTCTGGAGGAGGTATCTTCACAGTTTATTTTTCCATTATGTGTACTGGCTACAACTGCTTCTTGCGGCTGATTACATTTCCAAAGAAAAGAGTAAAGATTTCAATGATACGATGAAAATACATTCCTTTGTATCTAAGAAAATGTAACAATATCCTCATTATTCCTGATGAGAACAATAAGGTGAGTGTTATTTTCTTTATTATTTGAATATCCCTGCTAATACTGTTTGGAAGGACATTAACTTTTTAATTAAACTTCTGTTCAAACACACAGGCACATAAAAACAAGCTATTTCCTTCTTCCTTTTGTAAGCTATAGCAATTTAGGTCCCTACCATTCCAGTGAGTTTTGCCTGAAAACATGTTTTAAACTTTTGTACTAGTTGTACCCAAACGAGAAAAGTACACTCAGAACTGTACTGGCTAAAGCATCTTACTACTCTGATTTTCAGCACATTCGCACATTGTGTGATACATTCACACAATGGTATAAAAAGTGACTCCATTATGGGGGAAAACGTGGACAATAGAACCCAAGTGTACAAAAACATTTCTCCTGACTCCGGGGTTTATAAAGACCACAACTTCGGCCGCTTTCAGGCTGCCTGCCTCCCCACCCTGTTCTCCTGTGCACATTCCACATCACTGGTCATCAACAACCCGAAGCTCCCTTCAGCTGCACAGTGAAAGACCAGCACATCATTACAAATAAACAATCCCTTCCTCCCTCCAACAAGTGACACATTATTCTGAGCACGTCTTCTCTCTGCTTTCATTGCTCTGCCAAGGTCCCCCGTGAGTGGGAAGGGGTAAAAAGAGAGAGAAAATATCCCACAACTTGTCTAAAGCATGTAGAGGATGATTTGTGTTCTTACTTACGGGATATGACTGTCACTGTTGATCTGCTTTCAGGCCTAGATTACATGTGATAAGGGCTGACCTTCTTTAAGTATTCACACATTATGCACTCATGGAGAGCAGGCAGGACACAAAAGTCCTTCAGATGTTCTGGACATCAATCAAGTGCACAGCATGGAGCCTGCCAAACTTTTCTTCCATTTACTCAGGGAGAGGAAGGGGATTGCAAGACAGACTTAATAAAGTTTAAAGCTATGCCACAGTATATTTGGGGAGACCATTGTTATTAAAAGGGTGCTGTTCGAAAAAAAATTCTCTAGAGTTACCACTAGCAACAAAAAAATTCACACACAAGTATAAGGAGACAACTAGATCTCCCTCCAGCTTTAAAATTTCAAAACTTTTGTTATAATCCAGGTTTCAATGGCTTTAGCAAGCTGCTATTTTTTTTCCTGAAATAACTGTTCATTAAGGATATATTTAAAAAATTAAAAATATAACTTTTTATGACAATCATATATAAAAAGTACCTTTTTGAGGCATTTATAAAGGTAGTAGAGGAAACACATTGCTACAAAATACTCTGAACATATCTTAATATAATTTAAGCACTAATCAACAACACAAACCATTTTTCACCTAATACAAATATGATTATTAACAGGCTAGAGCCCCAATATTACATGATAGACATGACAATATCTTCTGATACAAGCTTTCAGTTGATGGTCTTTTATTCTTGCCACTCCCAACAGCTCATTAAGGGGATTTGAGATGGCTTTTGAAAAAGAACAACTAAGTCCCCAACTGGATTCTCCTAAAACACTGTTACACTGTGTACTTGAAGGGTATAATTTGACCATCAGTACAACCAAACCCATCAAAGCAAAATGCTTTGTGGAATTTTAGAATAGAATGATATCTTAAATCTATGACAATATCATTTACTTAGTGATTGCAGAGTTCTTTTTAAAAGCTCATGTCAGACCATGAATATAACGAGGATATGCGCAGCCTGCATACAAAATAAGAAGACTAGACACAAAAAGCAATTAACTTTTTTTCATATGAAATTTATTGTCAAATTGGATTCCATACAACACCCAGTGCTCATCCCAACAGGTGCCCTCCTTAATGCCCATCACCCACTTTCCCCTCCCTCCCACCCCCCATCAACCCTCAGTTTGTTCTCAGTTTTTAAGAGTCTCTTATGGTTTGCCTCCCTCCCTTTTTTTTCCCTTCCCCTCCCCCACGGTCTTCTGTTAAGTTTCTCAGGATCCACATAAGAGTGAAAACATATGGTATCTGTCTTTCTCTGTATGATTTATTTCACTTAGCATGACACTCTCCAGTTCCATCCACGTTGCTACAAAAGGCCATATTTTATTCCTTCTCATTGCCAAGTAGTATTCCATTGTGTATATAAACCACAATTTCAAAAAACAATTAACATTAAAGAATAAGAAGAGAACTAAAGGCAACTTGAATGATTAAAGTACCAATGAAAACTAACGCAG